CTCACAAAGCATGAGGTCATGACCTGAGACGAAGTTGGACGCTTAACTAACTGAGCCACCCAGGTGCCCCTCTAGTAAGAATTGAAAGAATAAATACACTTATTTTTTTCTTCTTTGATGATAGCTAGAAATGCATTTGTAATTTTTCTGGGGTCTGAAAAAATCACGCATTTCATATTAAATAAAATAATTTTTTATCATCTAGCAAAACCCATTAGGAATTTACCCCTTAAACTGCATGTAATTGAAGCTTTACTAGTTTATCAATACTGGAGAGGAGAAGTTTCTTTCTTTCTTTCTTTTTCTTTCTTTCTTTCTTTCTTTCTTTCTTTCTTTCTTTCTTTCTTTCTTCCTAATGAACTTTACTTTCTCTGAATACTTAACGCACAGGTAAAACTTTTGGTAAATTAATAATCATTCCCTAAAGCTATGCAGTTTAAAATGCATTTACAAAAGGTGGTGGGTCATCATTTAGGTGATGGAGTATGAACAAACAAATTAATTCAAAGTATGAGGGAAAAAACTGGTTTCAGGGAATAATCATAAAACTTCTATTCTTTGAGACTTTGGTCCCAAGAAAATGCACCAGCCAGGAGTCTGTCAGCCACTGGTTATAGCTCACAGCCATTAAGTGCCCATAACCCTCAACTAAAAGTCTTTTCAGTACTTTGATGATAAGTTGACTTTGTAATTGCTGTATAGGCTCACAAAGGAGGCATTTATTAAGAGTGAAACCAAGTTTTGCTTTGCCATGTTAGAAGAGGAAGATGACAAACATAGAAAAATGATTTTGCCTTCGAGTAAATTACTTCAAAGTAAGATTTTCAGAAAATTCATTGGATTTATCCTCCTTGGCACTATCCAGGAAAGGTTAAGTGACTTGCTGGGGGACACACCCTGAATTAATTGCATAGCTGAAACTAGATTCCAAGCCTCCAAGTTTATATGGTGCAGTGAGTTTTAAGCTCCTGTAAGCGAGTAAGCAATGGAAATAGATTCTGTACTTATAAATGTATTATCAGGGCTTTACAGTCAGGGCAAGAAATATACATTTAAAGGTTTTTTTTTTTCCTTTCCATGACATAAATACATTGAAAACGTGGAAACTCTAGCAGGTTGAACACATTCACCTAAGAAATAGTTGAACGCCCTACATTGACTCTATTTTTGAATAGCTTTAGAAAATTTTTTCCCTACTAACTTTCATATATGATGATTTCCCTGACAAGCCCTCATAGAATATTCCTTTTGCTTCATAGTGTATGTCCTAGTGATAAATTGAAGAACCATTAAACTGTGCCCAGAAGGGCATCCATCAGATAGAAATGTCCATATAAGGGGAAATTTTAAATATCTTATTCATCCTTTCACCAATTTTTTAAGATGTTTTTTACAGTCATTGGTATTCTCATTAATCCAGATGTAAGGGTCACAGTTACCACTGGAGTTCATCTGGGAGCAAAGCAATTTCCTGGACCAAACCCTCAAATACAGGATTGATCAGAAAACATAGGTTTTATTCCCAAGACTGCCTTTAAAAAGCAAGTGACTAAGGCTCTGTCTCATGGGATCCCCAATTAACCGAGGAAAAGGAAATTGCCTTCTCCCTGAATGAGTAGCTGCTGATGGTCTGGCTGTGAGATCTTCATTAACTAGAATATTGTCAATTTTAAAAGTTTTTCTCAAATCAAATCAAATAAATGAATTTCTTAACCAAATAATCTCTTCAACATTCCTGGGCATTTTATCACATTCCTCAATTCTCTGCTTTCATTGATTTTCTAGTTACGGAAAGTTAAAGTTACATTTGAACCACGCAGCTGCCTTATGAGTGTAGAATCCGTTCAGAGAAAAAATAGGATTTTTAACTGCCTGGAGAAAAACCTCAAATGTTCCATCCATCTGTAATTGACTGCAATGTATAGACATGTGTGCTCCAATATAATAGCCCCAGCCACACGTGGCTATTGAGCACTTGAAACGTGCTAGTACAAATTGAGATGTGGTATCACTGTAAATTGCACACCAGATTTCAAAGACATAGTGTTAAAAAAAAAAAAAAA